CTCGTGCATACTAGAATTCAACACTTCATAGACACTATTTCAGTAAAACTCGTTATTACAATTTCTGTCATAAGCATATCAAACTGTTAGATTCTTTTATTCGTTTGAATGATTCTCTATAATTAACTAAAAATCACTGATTTAATGAATATCCGTTGCATGAAAGTTTCCGATTCTATTTCTATGTTTACAATATTTAAAAAAAAAGCCAATAATTCAAAACTTGAACATTTTTTTATTTTATTATAAAAACAAAAAAGAAACTTACATCGTGGACATGGTCGAATCATTCCTCCAGTTGAATTCGATTTCATAAGCATTTCAAGTGTAGGATCTTGAGCAGCACGTTGTGCTGATGCAAGTTCACATGTTAAATTTGGATGCCAAATTTGTGAACAACGTTGACAAAATGGTCTATTACAAACTAGACAATCAAATTTATTTGCTTTACGTGTATTTTCCACCAAAACAGCAAAATTACAATTTGGATAACTAATTTATAGAAAAATTTACTTTTATTTAATTTTTTATTTATTAAAAAAAAATAGATTATATACTTACGGGCACCATCTTGTATCAGGCATTTTTTGTAAAACACGTCTTAACATAAATATTTCATAACGTTCATACATTTGTTGATCATTTAAAATTCGTTTTACATCATTTGGATGAAGTATTTCTTTACAATCACTATGTGGACATTCTAATGATGATAAACAACCATTACGTATTTTTTCAATTAGATACGTTTGCAAACATAAATAACAAAACTTATGTTTACAATTTCGTAAATTTTCACATTCATTTGATGAAAAACATATTTCACATTCATTGGTATTATTATTTAAATTTGTTATTGTTGTTATCATTGAATGTACATTATTATCATCATTTGTATTTGTTGAATTAACATCATGTATAGCTGGTAAAATAGATGTTGATGTTGATGTTATTTGCACAAATGTATTCATATTAAAATTAGTTGACATACGACGAAAAAATGTTTGTGGAAGTATTTCATCCGTATTTGATATTGTACTAGTTGGACTTGTTATACGTTTAATAACATCACTTGCACGCATATCAATTGTTGATGAATTTGATGCTTGAGAATTTGTACGCTGTTTTACATTTTGTAATGATGCTATATCATCATCATTGTTTGATGATAAATTTATAATAGTATGTTCTTTTAGATTATCATTTGTTGAAGAATTATGTTCAGTTATTGGATGAATTCGATGATGTTTTCTTGTATTTGATGAACTTGTTTCACCAACATACATTTTCGAATTTTTGAAATAAATGATGATGGATTTTATTCTACTTGACAAAAGTAAATGAAACTGAATGCATTTTATTTGCGTGTTACTCTAGAAAAGAAAGAAAAGAAAAAAAAGGAAAAGAAAAATAACAGATTCTCAGTTTGCCTTAAACTACACGCGCATGATGATGGAGAGCAGATCTCGTAGAAGTATCGAAACATTATTTTTTTACCTGCATCGGACGATTTTATTTATATAGCACGAGAACAAAATACAATTCTTTTTTACATTCTACTACTCATTCAAATATATCAAAAATAAATAGATCGTCTCACCATACATGCATATATAATCAATTAATTGCCATATATTGATAACAAATATTAACGAAATCCATCTGATATTCTTTGTTTTTTCTTTTCATTAAGAGTAAATATAAAAAAAAAATATTTGTTATTTTCATGACAATAGCATAAATATAGTCCTCCTACTTTTTTATCACCTTTACATTAAACTAACAACGAAACAAAAGAAAAGAAAAAAGCAATAATCTTGTTGAAAAAAAGGCGCATATAAAGTGCATATATATAGTCAAAAAAAAGAAAATAAACGAGTTCTAGCTGATTCATGTATGCATATACTTGTATTGCTGTCTTTTTTTTTCTTTGTAAATCATTTTTTTTTACGTATGTACTATTTACTTAAGTCATTGCCTTCCAAATCGGCGTATACACACAGAATGATTAGACGGCTAATGTAGATAAACGATTTATTAGAATGTGTGTAATTTAGGCTTTATTTATAATATTCCTTAGGACTTTTTTCTTTCATTCTTATTGTTTGATCGTCTATCCTACATACTCAAGGAAAAAAGACATCTCAAATAAATATGTCTAGTCTTAAATGTAAATTATTATCATTAGCATCATCTTCTTCTTTCCGACTGAATGAAGGAAAAATGTTAACTCGATTATGTGAAGGTTATTACCAAGGATGTTAATGCTAATATATGCGTAACTTTTTCTATTAATGTTTGGGATTTGACCAGAAAATATCTATCAGAAATATTTCATGGTCACTCTTGCATAACTAACAGGTTTTTTTTTATTGCAATTTTATTTTATACGCATAATATATTAAACGGAAGAAAACAGATAGAATAATTTCCACGTGTGATAAAAGCATTTATATTTTTAATTATGATTTAATATTTAAAAAATGAAAACAATTTCAAAGAGTTGTTTTTTATATTATTCTACAATTATTTATAACTATTTATATATACTGACAAAAAAACGATTAAAAAACAATCTATAGAAAAATTTGTTGAGTTTTTTGTTTTTGTTTAACAAATAAAAAAGATATCCTTAAGAAGATTTTGTTCTTCGGAATCTACTACAGCATTCATGGAATTTTTATTCATTTGAGATTTATTATTTATGGGTATTTTTTTTTGTATTGGTTCATGATATGATTCATTTAAAGATAATATTAAAAGATCTTCATCATTATTATCAATTCCATATCGTTGTGTTTGAATTGGACGATTAGCTTGTTTATCAGAAATTCTAAGAAACAAAATTCTTTTCTTTTTATCTTTTCATTTTAAATTTCATCTAGAATATTCGTTACTTGACAATGGGTTTTGCTATTTGTTTAACAGGTGATGTAGCACGTTCAACAACGGTTGTTTTTATTTCATGTTTTATTGGTGATGTAGCACGTGTTGCAGTTTGAACAGTTAAATTTGATGAAGATTTAGCTGTTTGTTCAATTGAAGAATTAATATTTCTTTGTTGAAATTCTTTTTCAAGTATTTGTTGCTAAAAAAAGACACAAAGAAAATGTCTTTTTTTATGTACTAAAAACAAAATTTGATCAAAGACTTGTTTATGAAGTAATTCTAATTGTTTTTCCATCATTAATTGTTTTAATTGAAATTGTTCATTTATTATTGAATTTGTTGTACGAGATGGTTGAATTAAATCATTTTCATGTGTATTACGTGTTGTTGTTGAAGGTTCTTTTATTGGTAAATTAATTGGTGTTGAAGACTAAACAAAAAAAAAAATAACAAAATTAAGATTGAAAATTAAAATGAAAAAATAAATTTCTACTCGTTGAGGATTTGGAAATTCATTTGTTGTTGGTTTTAATAATACTTGAGATTTTTTTTCATATTCATTTAACATCAGTTTCGTTTCATTATATCGTGTAAGCAGTTCTAAATAAAACAAAAATTAAAAAAATCCTAAGAAAAGAAATAGATTTACTTTGATTATCTTTCATTAATTTATCATAATCAGTTAATAATGTTTTCATTTGTAGTTCAAATAATTTTCGTTCTTGTTCAAGTTTATTTTCTATAAGTTCTTTTTCATGAGCAATACTAAAAAGAAAGTCAAATGAAATTATCGATGAAAAATAAATTAGAAATATATACCGAGCAAGTTCTTTAATTAGATTAGCAATTTTTAATTTATCTTCAGCACTTAATTCTTTAATACCTTTAGAAGATTGAATTGATGTATCAACCGAAGTAGTCGAAATAGGTTGATCAACAAATCGAACGACATTTGTTGCACTTGAAACCTATATAAAATATGAAATACTGTTTTAAAACTAGATAATATTTCAGTTTCACTCCACTGCAAAACTTCGAATGTCGCTTGTTGAAAAAAACAGATATCTCATTAGGAAAAACAAATAACTGTTTTTACAACGTTTTATAGAAATAAAATTTTTATTCGTCATGGTTAATGAGAAAATAAATCTTCCGATCATAGTCTAAATGAAAATGAAAAGTAACCTTTTGTAAAATTCATCATTAAGACACAGAGATTGGATATTCCTAAATCAAGAAAATTTTTTGTTTTTTGCCCAGCGGATTAAAGAATTTCTCGTGCATTCTCTAAGACATGAAAGTCGTTACGTCTATCTTCCCAATGTTGACTACTGCATCGAGCTAGTCTTTATGTTATGCTTTGCACCACATTAAAAACCATCTCGGACAGACTTCTTTGATGAAGTGTTAGCATGAAAAGAATCTATGTATAAATGATACTCCTATATTGTTCAAACTTAAGTATAAATTATTTTGCTATTGAATTGAAAATGTTTCATTTTTCTATGAAAATCGTGAAAAGATTCATTGAAGCGAAATGAATTGAATATAAAAGATTGAAGAAAAGTATAAGGTTTATCATTGTAAAACAACAGCATATTTATAATTAACAAAATACCTTCTTCATAAAATATTTCTCATTAAATGTCCTTTTTACTTTTTTGTTTATTAGAAAATTATATAGTTATAGGTCACTTCTATATTATTTTAAAATATGTCAAACAGACAAAAACAGATATAGCAAAGTTGAAAAGTCAGTTAATTAACCTTTGTTCGTGCTTTGTTTATGACAGATGGTGCAGTAAATTTATTTGTTTTTATTGTAGGGATTTGTGGATGTTGTGCTATTGGCTTTTGAATCGCTGAATTTTGTTCTGAATGAGAAAAAATAATAATAATATTAAATCAATTTCGATATAATTACCAGCTGCATTTAACCAACGTATTCTAACAGGATGGTCACTAGGTGGTACAATATTGTCTTCGGTCATAATATTATCTAAAATTTTTGAATACAAAAAAAAAAAAATCGTCAGTAAATCATGTTCAATATCAAAGTATTTTCTTGATTAAATAAAACGCAAAAAGAAAAAAGAAAGTCATCATATGATTTAATGTTCAATTGAATCGTGAACTTGTTTAAAATTCTTGTAAAATCCCTAAAATAAATCAAAAAATATAAAACAAAAAATGTTTTGTATAATTCTTACATTAAAGAAATCTAAATAGTGTTCTAATGCTTTTGTTGATGTCATTTCACGTATTGAATGCATTGATAATTGTGGTGCACCAACATCAACTGTATACATTCCAAGACGAGTAGCAAGTATTGGACCAACAGTTGTACCACATGGCATATCGTTTCTCATACAAAATTCCTTGATAAAAAGAAAATAAAAGTTAATAAAGATAAATAAATGACACTCAAAAAATAACAAAAAAAAACACCTGTAATGGAACATTGCTTAAACGAGCAATTTCTTTAATTAAAGTTGCTGTAAATGCACTTGTTGCATAGCGACCACAACAATTTGTTTTAACAACAACTCCACCATTTAATAATGATGGTCTATGATCACGATCATGGAGAGAACTGTAATTTGGATGAACAGCATCTTTTTTTAAAAGAAAAAAAACTATTTAGTTATTTTTCTTTGATTAATATACATACGAGCCATATCAGCTGAAACAAGAAATGAATTTGATACTGAACGTTCATATTCATCACGTGTCATTCGACGTAATGTATGTTGAGTAAATTCACTCATGGCACCTTGAGCAGTTTCAGAACCAATCTAAATTTTTTCAAAACCATATAAATTCTACATCTACAGAATAGAAACCCAATAGGCTTCTAATTTGCTTTGAAAGTCAAAATTTTAAAGGTGAACTACTGTTATGACTAAATTCTTTTTTTTGTATTGAAGCTATGCTTTCATTAGCTTACGAGTGTCGAACTGTAAAACAATTGATAAATCGAAATTTTCATATTATGTCATCAGTTTCAGAATACCTAAAATAGTTTCTGTGGAATCAAAGATTAACTGTCAGCTCTGTCTAAGTGCCATATTATTGAGTAGATCAAATAATGAGTTCTTTACACTACTTTTCATATCTACATACTTATCTATGTTCAATGCTCAGTGGATCCTGGTATGAATACAAACAGTTATGGTTAACGCAATAGTTAACAAAAATTAATATCATTTCGTTTTCGAACTACATAAAAATCTATAGAGAGAATAATTCTAACCGAATGATATAATTGAATTTCTAATTTCTATTTCCATAATTCTTCGAGAACTACCTTTAAGTAGTACGTATGTATAAGCATTTTTCCGGTCACGAAAATAATTGCCTTGTCTTTTGCTAGAAACCATAAACAACAAAGAAAAAGTTAAAAATATAAACAAAGTTATAATTGAAAATTGAGAAGAAATAAGCTAATCAATTTAATTCTTACATAATTCGTGTAGTACTTAGGTCGGAGGTAGTAGAATTATATTATGTTCGAAACTGATAACCTTAGGGCTGAGGTTTTATTCTATGACGAGTATTAACTTTTAAAACTTATGAAGGAATTACCCTAGGTGAAAAATACTGTTTGAGCTCATATTGAACCTACAGGTAACTATTAGTGAGAGTATAAAAAGTTTAAAAGGATTCGTCCTCGTTGGCCTTCAACGCCGAGGTATGATCGATTTACTGGATTTTTGACCCATTTTCAGATACTCCTCGAAAGATAGAATAATAGAATTTTAATTCAAAATATTGCTTATTGATAGATCTAATTGTTCTTAGAATATACTCAATATTTCAGCTGAAAAGAACGTTCTTTTGTCGAGATATTGAATTTCCAAAAATTGTTCTTTCTCACAGACACATCACAAAAATCGAGTTTACTTGAAACTTCGACAACTCGACAAAGGACCATTCTTTTCGTCTAAAACTTTCCGAATATTCCAACAGTCATTAGAATCATCTAGGGATAAAATTTTAGATCGAAATTCTGTCACTTGATTTTTTGGAAACTCTCGACATTTGAATCGAAAATTCAATAAACTGATCATAACTCGGCCATAACGGCCCCATGAGGACGAACCTTTTTAGGCTTTTCTATTTTCGATGAGGTCTGCCTGAGGGTTCAATATGAGGTCAAATGGTGAGTGTCAGTTGAAATGGTTTCCTCGTGAGCCAATGAGATACTCAATAAGAAAAAAATTCAACATTAAATTTTCTATACAAGAAAAGATGATCTAATCAAATATGATTCATGTCTATCTCAATAAATTATATTAACCTCTTCATTATCATATAATAAAGCTCCACGAATAAATGTTTCATCTGAAAGCGTGTCGAGTGTATTGACAAGACCCTAGAAATAAAAATAAAAACAAATTACAATTTATAATAAATCTATTAATTTCGATTTTTACTTGAATTGCACAATATGCACTCATTTGATTATCAAGTCGTCCAGAATAAATAAATTCATTTTTAAGACCACCGACACATGATGGTTGAGTATCAGCAAGCATTAAATCAAAATTAATAATATCATCTGCTTGACAATCACATTCATTAGCAATTAATTCTAATAACTGACTATGATGTTTTTTTGACTAAAATTTTTCAAAAAGAAAAAATTAATTTCATTTAAATTAAAATTTTACATTTATATATTTACTTCATCAGTTAATTTTTTATTTATATCTGATGTTGTTTCTTTTTCTTTTGTTGATTTATTTAATTCTTCTTCAGTTTTTAATGATAATACAGCTTGTCTAAATGAAGATTTTTTTCTCTTTTAAGCGAAATATTTTTATTAAATTCATATCATACAAATGTTCTTGTTTATTGATTTCTAATTTTTCATTGGTATCACGTTTAAGATGAATTGCAATTGTTGGTACACGAAGTATAGGTCGATTGATATGTACCAAATGTTGATTAATTTTACCATTTTGTTTCTTTATTGAAATAAAAATATTATAAAAAATTGATCGTTAAATTCTTATACAAACTCGAAAGAAAACTCGTCCAGCTACTGTTAAATCTCTATCAAACCATGTATGCCAAATACCACCACCATAACATTCAACATTGACTTGTAAATAACCACTTTCTTCTCGTTTTGATACAGGTTTTACCTATAAGATAGAATAATTTTAATCTTAATTTTTTTCATCATATAAACAAATTTGAGATTTTACATCAGAAAATTTATGTGAAGACTTACATTGAAGGAAATTAAAGTTCTACTAATAAATTAGATTTGTCATTAAAAGATTTTAAATTGTAAATATTATTTCTATGCAAAATAGTTTCTCTTTTTAGCCTAAGATCAGGAAAAGTGGTCGACGTCAATCTTAAAAGAATTATCGAGTGATAAAATTACACTATTGGTTAGTTTTCCTTCAGACTTTGATGGAAAATATTGATTAACAAATGCAGTACATTTCAAAAGTACGCAAATAGATAAAAATAATGTGATACTTAACAAATACTGAACTTTGATCAACTTTAAAAATTCTTTTCAATTACAGATGTTTAATTCACTCAGTTCTCTCTTCCTATAGAATAGAAACCCACCTTATTCGAACGAGCACAAAATAGCAATGTAAATCATTGAATAGATTAGCTCATTCCTTTTCACTTTTTAGTTGTAACTTCTTTAGTAAGACTAATTTCATTTGTTCAATGTGTTGTTCATTAACGAGCAAACAATTTTCTTTCGTGAGCCAAACAATATGTACACATGGACATTAATGAAAGGCAGCTGTTCATGAAATAACGCATAGAAAATAGGCATGCTTTCATAGTAGTCTGTTGGACTTGTTCATTCAATGTGATTATACAGTCTAGAAAAAAATCTTTAACTGTGAAATGAGATATTTCACAAAGATGAACGATGGTCACTTGAAATTACGTGAGAGTTTATCAGACTCAAAAAAACAAAACGAGTGCCGGTATGAGATGAGTACGATACCCATTTTTGAAATACTCCCTATTTCATAAAAATAAGAAGCTCTCATTTGCTAGTAAACAGGATACTACACACTTCTTTCAAGATAATTGAAATGGATTTCCTTGTTTTTTAGAACTTTGTATAAGCTTCTAAGATGATATCACCTGTCATAATCGTATAGAAGTTTTTTCTCAACTCCTTTCAAGTTCGATAATTTCCCAAACGAAAGTATCTTATTTAAGCGCAGTTTAACGTATCTATATTAAGATCGATGAAATAATAATGACACATGAATGTATGAATGAGAAAAATAGAAAAGTCAATTTTTTCGTTCGTTGATACATATCGAAATTTCCGAATAGTTTGAAAACTTTAATATTTTAAACCATGTGCACTTCTGTGTATGTAAGCGAATCAAATCATAGCTACAATACAAAAAAAAGTAGATGCTAATTAAGTCTGTCGTATAGGTTATTCCTGCATAGAAACTCTTTCAGTTATGTAAGTAATATTTCACGCATTAAATTACATACTCGAAGATGTGGTGAATCAGTATGTGTTGCTGCTAAAGCAAAACCATTGCCATTTTGATATTTTCCTCCAACAGCAAATGCCGCGATACATGAATCATTTTTAATAACAAAATACTAAATAAATACTAAATAATTTGATATTATTTTATCTTTCTTTTACTTTTCCCGACGGTTCAATATTCCATTGTTCACTTTCTCGCAATTCTTTAAAACCTGCTGCAGTCAATGTTGTTTTAACATTATCAACACCTTTAAAATATTGAATAATAATATTTAAAAATAAAAAATGAATTTCTATCAATAAAAAACAAAAAAAACTTACAATGAAATGCTGTTGGACTTTTATTAATAAAATTAATAAATCCTTCAACATTTTTCGATATTGAACTTGTTAATGTTGTCATCTGAAAATCAATAGAAATAATTTTCATCAATTCTATAACACATACCCTTCGAGTAAAAAAACTATAACGAGGAAAATTATTGAATATGATTGACATCTTAAAATTGAGAAAAAAGAAAACAACTATTTCCATAGTAAGATAAATATATATAGAAATTTCTTCTCTTCTTCTATCCACATTAGTGAGTTATAATAAGAAAAACAAGCAGATAACAATAATTAGATAACTTAACCAATATTTAAAAAAAAAAGAACAATTACTACTTCCATTTCTTTTCATTCAAGTATAAACTAAAGTTTGAAATCAATTAAAATAATTTCAGTTGAAATTTCAAATTCCAATCAAGTTATGATTAATAACAAGAATGTCTTATACATTCTCATTGTACTTTACTTTTACTCTTTCTGTCAGTATACGAGTGAGAATGAGAAACTTATTTTTCTTGTTTATCATAACTCAATTGAAACTTGAACTTTTAACTAAAATAATTTCAATTGAGATCAACTTTCAAGTTTTACATTAACTGATTTTGTCTTAGTTAAAAGAAAAAGAAACATTAACAAGTAATAGAAGTTTAAATAATCTTGTAAAATTGCAGAAAAAAAAATATTAATAATAAATTTCTGTCCAAATCCATTTTTGGGATTCGTTCTCATTATTGCATTCACATAGTTTTAAATCTTTGCCATCTGTTTCCATACATAGATGTTCTTTATTGCTTCGAATTTGTTTTGTTGACTAAAAAAAACAATAATATGAAGAGTTCTAAGAAATATCTTTTTCATTCGTTACGTTGTCATATTGCCATTCACCAACTGGATTCCATCGACCATGATGATCCAAACAAAACTTCTTTTTAACTATATCATGATCAGATATAAAACAATGTTCACCGGATGATATTTCACCTTCTTCATTTAAACGCCAAACTTGCTAAAGAAATATTTTATATCAAATATTTGAATACAATATGTTTAAATTATAGTGAAAGAAAAAACAATAACAATAAAACATGTAAGAAATGACTGTCATCTTACTTTTGATACGTGTACGTATTAACATAATGTGATGTACAGAACTACTCCGTAACTTTCTAGTAAACATGTCAAAATACCAATACCATTTGGTATTGATCGATATTGGTATTGAGTATTAACATAGATCTTGCTGTTGGAGAAGCTAAGGTAGGGATAGACTTCCTAACTTTTTCCTTTGTGTCTACAATAATTTCGAGCTATTTTCGGAAAACTGTCTGCTAAGCTTTTAATCTCTTGTTCCTTGACAAAATTTCGAAAACTCTGAATATCAATTAGTGTTGATGCCAACATTAGCCTATACCTATTCTGTTCAGAATGTAAAAAAGACTTCGATTGATTAAAATTTACTTTGTATATTTAAAAGGTATTCTAAATCTAACTGTGTACTGTTTAAACTTCTTTGTAGAGGAGTTTATTTTTTTATATTAACAGTTAAATAGTTTAGCATATTGAGTTTTAACACGCAGAAATTTACTTTATAAACCTAAATTAAAGTACTATGCAAATAATTTTACTGGTGATTTATTTTTTTTCCTCTTCTTTCACTATTATTGGCAAACACTTAATTCCACTACAAATATGAATAGATTTCAAATATTAATCCGTAAAATCTATCTAAGATCAACTTCGAACGACAGTTGCTCTTTTCATTTGTCGAACTTAGAAAAATTTCAGATTATTACCGGTTACTCATCATTTATATCATAAATAACTATGTCATAAAATAATCTAATACTTTTGAAAAATCTAATTTCTTTACTTTTTCGTTTAATTTCAAAATTCATTATGTCCTTTATCATCGACTAATTCACTGAAATAAAAATTTCTGCATCTCAAAAATACAGTAGACTTTATATAGACTCTGAAACATGTCCATTTTTATATGTCAGTTCATCATTTTTCAAAGTATAATTAAAGTTCTATAACCAAAAAAAAAAAAAAACAATATATGATCCGTATGATCTTTTTTTCAAGTAAAACACTTCATTTCTCTAATAATCTTTTATACAAAAAAAAGAAAAACATCAATTCTTACTTGTCTATAACAACCACTAACACCAATCGGTTGACCAAATGAAGCTCCTCGATCATTTAAACAAACTGAATGTTGAACATTCTTACACTATAAAAAAAAAATTATTTCGAAAATTCTAATCAAAAAAAAATTATATTCTCTATACTTCTCCCCAAACGACATTTTTTGGTGGTGGTGGAAATTTTTGTAAAACATCATAAGCAATATTTTCCATAAACCATTTAAATGGTTTACATTGTAATTTATTTCTTAATTGTTTACGTTCTGATATATCACCAAAATCTAATTTACGAATAGCTGGTTCACGTATATAATAATATTCAGCATATTCATCCATCCATGCTTCAGCTAAACGTATATGATTTATAGATGTTTGATATGGACTTGTATCCGGTATATGAGATGAATGACTTCGTGGACCACGATATGCATGTGCAACATGAGAACATGGTACCCATTCAACAACACCACCACATTGCCAAACTTTAAATGATAATTCATATCTTAAATATAAAATAAAAAATTTTTATTTGTTATAAAAAAAATTTTATAATCAAAATAAAACGTACTGTTCGGCTCCCCATACTCTTATACCTGGATCATAAGCACCTAATTCAAAAAACCACTGACGATCAATAGCTAATAAACCACCAGCATGTGTTGGCGACCTAGGAAAAAACAACAATAAATATATTTATTAAAAATTAATCAATTAATTTCTATATACCAATAAGGTTCGGATGAATATTTTCTTCTTTTTAATTCTTGTTCTGGTACTTCAGTTTCTTTATATAGAAATCCCCATTCCCAAATTCCTCGAAAATTTGTTGAACCATATATATTTGTATGTTCTAAAGTGTTCCATTCGATTCCATCAACTATAGGAACAGCTAATGCTTTACGATTAATTGCAATACGTGTTAATAACGGTGGAAGCCAATTAACAACCTAACAAGAACAAAATCGTCTTTAAATATTTCCTGTTTTTTTTTTTTTGTAGACATACACATTCACAATGAGCATCAAGTATAATAATAACATCACCAGTCGATTTTTCTGCACCAATTGTACGTGCTGCAATTAAACCGATACGTTTTCCAGTTCGGTAAAGCTTAACAAGACCAGTCCAACGTTGAATATATTTTTCTAATGGTTCAAGTAGAGCAGCTAAAGAAAAAATAATAATAATAATTAATTCTTTATAATATCCATATGCAGTTTTTTTTTTAAATACATACGATCACTACTACCATCATCGATTAGAATTATATCTTTAAGTAATTCTTTTGGTGATGTATTAATTACACTATGTACAGTACGTAATAAAACACTCCAACCTTCATCGAAGAAAACAATTATTATAGAAGCTGTTGGTAAGTGTTGTACGTCAGGATATATCCAATATTTACATCTATACAGAAAGATTTTATGTACAAAATAAAAAGAATTTTTTTTTTAATAAAATGTTTTTGTTTGCTATTGAAATTTAATAGGCCAAAAAAAATGTTTCTAACACTATTGATTTCTCTTACTCATCTGGTCTTGTATCTTTAATTTGTCTATCCATGGATATTTTATCGGAAGCAACCATATTAAAACCATATTGAGCTATCGTTCGTTGTGCTTCTTGTTCTTCTGCAGAAGAAACTCTTACAGGAACACCTATTTCAAAACAAAAATAGGTCAATTATTTTGAAAATTTAATTACATTTTACCTCCTTCGCCTGGACCTGATTGTAGTGGTCTATCTTTTGGTTCATAATTTCCTAGTGAATTACTCATTCTTGGTTGTAAACTATCACTTTTTGATGGATTTCGAACTTTAGAAGCTTCTCGATTAGCTTTGTTGCTCTGTATATTTCAAAAAAAATGTTAATGAAAAGAAAGAGAATGTGTTTATTTTTACATTTGAATAATCAACTTTATTTTCTTCAACTATTGATTGATTAGTACCAGAATCAAGTTTGGACATAAGAAAAGGCACAATAAAAATAAGAAGCGCAAGTCCAATAATTAAACGAAGTATACGTCCAAGCCGATAATGCATTCTTAAACGAATTATTTATATTTGTCTAATTTTCAATACTGATTATTAGATGATGTTTCATTCAATGATTCTCAAAAGTTACCACGTCTACCGTTCGTCTATCCATCTGTTGTACACTTTTTTCTTATTGATTGTAGATCAAACACGAATAGATGTTGCTTTTAAAAAGAAACAAGAATTTATAAGATGGCGCTAGAAGTTGAAATTTTATTTCAAGATGATAAAATAAAATATATTTAAAATACATTTTTCGAATTAACAATTTAGAATACGTTTAAATAATTAAGTGAATCTAAGAAAGTTAGATATTAGTTATCTTTAGATTGATATGGTTAACAATTAAGATAAAACAATTAAACGCATTTTGAAAGACTGAGAAACCAAAAATTTCATGCTAGACACTTGCAGAACAAACAGAAAAATATTGTTACATTTGTATCACTATTTTGATTAATACAAATTATTGTTAAATACATGACAATTCATAGTTCATAATTGAATTGAAAAACTACATACAGCAAAGATTTTTCCGTATATAATAACTAACATTCCTTCAAATCATTTGAGATTTCTGACCAAATGAAATGATGCATCAGATCACAGTCGAGTTTATCATGGAAAAGTTTGCCTTCAGAAATCAATCTTTTTTAGAGCTTCTCTCTCAAACAAAATTAAATTCTATCTGTTGAACTAGAACTTCTCGTGCATCTAGTTGGTGTCATCAGACAAAATGACATAGCAATCATTATTTAAGTCTATTATCAGCATTCTATGGCGTATAATAGAATAAACAAAACTTCTCTGTTAATACCAATTAAAATTTCTTATTCATATAATAATAAAATCTATAATGCTCAACAGATTTATGAAAGACTTCATGTCGATTATATATGTTAAAACATCTTTCAGATTTCTGTATCTAATTTTTAAAAATTTTAATGAAACATATAAAGATCAATTTTAATTGTTTTTAACGAAAGTAAAACAATTCGTTATCAATGTGATAGCATGAATTGTGCATCTTTTTAAAGTTTGCCTTTTTTTGTTTGAACTTTAATATAGTATCTATTTTCAAAACATGTATAAATTTTCATATAGTAATAAGTAATACAGCCAAAAATTTTTTATCTGAGAAATTCCAACAGATAAGATTTCTTTTTTGCTATTAGTAAATAATTGTTTGTGCTTATAGGTGATTATTTCAATATAATGTCACGTTGTTATTTAACAGAATGAAACTTTTTATTTGTATATATTTAGAGTTTTTTTTTTTCTCAATAATATTTGAAGCTCGATGAAAAACTATCAAAATAACTCAATAAAGATAAAGATAAAAAACGATTGACTAATTGTTCCTATTTTTGTTGTTTTTATTCATGAACGAATATTTAACTAAAGTGATCTGTAAAAAAAAACCCACTCACGAAAGAAAAAAACAACGTCATTTTTATTTCTACAAGGATACATATAGTTATATCATAGCATACATTTATATGTATCATGTGACTATTGAAATATAGGTATAAAAAAGGAAAATAGGAAGAGGAGAAGGAGAAGGAGAAGGAGGTTGTGATTAATTAATGTATACAACAAAAATAAATACAGATAGCATGAAAGTATATGAAGCGTAAAGAGAAATATTTATCATTTATTGACAACACGATGGCCTCCAATTTAATATTTATTTTTATAGTTGGAAGTCGATACTGTCGTGAGTATGATGAAATCTATATTAGTTATTGGTGTATAAATCTTGTATTTTAATAACAGATAACAGAAAAAAGGAAAGAAAATCTAATCAGTTATATGTAAATTTTAGATTGTATAAATTTGTTTTTATTGATCAAATAAAATGGGCAATGATGTAAAATCTCGTCTTCATTTACCTAAAAAACATGACCGTGCACCAAAAGATGAACGTGAAACAGGTAGCAGTACAAACCCTGGTCATCATGATGTCGATAAAGAAATTATGAAGGGTCCTAATCGTGCTCGTGCAGCAGACTCAAATCCATCTGATTTTGGTAGCGGAACGGGAACAGTTCGTGATGGTGATACGGGAAATCCAACTAATACAGCTCGTGGGCGTCCTTAGTTTTTAATATGTTCAAAAAGTAACTTTCAATGCTCATCGTTCAATATTATTACCATATAAATGAAAAACACTTTTTATTGTCTTTGATATTAAAATAAAGTTCGAAATAATATTGATGTTTAGCTTTATAATCATCATATGCATTAATATTTAATTGGTCAGAATGAATAAGAAGATTTTAAAAAAAAACACAAGATTTACAAACCAACTTTAACATTAATTCTCAACAATACTGCGTTAGAGTTTGTTTTTCCAAACAATATACTTGAATATTCTCTTTCATGATCAAATAACGATTCAAACTAAGTTTTTCTTTATTAATTTCCATAAGAAATAAAATATAGCGAAATGAAAATAATATTTATAATAGATGAAGATGATCATTGTCGAATTTTATATATTTCAAAAAGTCCTTTTATTTTCAGAATCTTATTTACTTTATAGCTTTTAATTGGTCATTAATTTTTCGAAATGATTGTTTACTCTATTCTGATATACTTTACTTGAATGTAGTCGTTGATATCATTTTATATTTACTGATTACGATGTCATAAACAGTACAGCTAGACATGTATATTCAGAAAAAAAACAGTCTTTAATTGTAGAACAATTGACTTCGTATGGAAAACAAAACTGTTGGAAACAAAGCTTTTGAGTGTAAATTCTTTCTATATGCTATAATCGAAAACCTCATTCATGAAAGAACTACATGATAGATTGAACTAAATGCATTTCTTTAATTATCTAATTCATTGAGTGACAAAAAAAATTAATTCTGCTCAAGTGTGTAACAGTTTCATATTAACAAACGAAGCTTGTTCTGATCATCTAGTTCTTTTCCGATAGGTTGGAGCTATTGAATATATCAATTTATTGTCTGTGTTGAGATCTATGATAGTTCCATTATGGTTCTCGACAGTTGAATCGAAGTTGCCACAAACCTTTTAATGTGCTCACCGATCCATCTTGTATAAAAAGAAATCAAGACTGTACTCACCTCTGGCAAAAAATAACTATTCATCATTATTATTATTATTATTATTCGCTTCTTTCAAATTATTGAACAAGAAACTGTCCATACGTCTTATGATAAGAAAAACCAAGCATTTCAATCTAATATATCTGTAAAAGTATAATACAATAAAAAAATTCTTTCTAAAATATTTGAAAATTTTAACATAAGAGAAAATTTACGTTTTTTGTTTATGAAATATTTAATCGTTAGTAATGATTAATAGAACAAGCATTATTTCTGTAAGATTATTTTTCTTAAAAATTGCTCAAGTAACACTGTCATGACTCATTATCCTATTGTGAAATACTAACTATAAATAGAAATATTTTTTTAACGCTTGTAATACACAATTACAATTGAGAAATAGTTATTAAAGAAGAAAATTATTCAAGTCATACGACCGTTTCATTATTATATTATGATAAGCGTTACTCTTATCGATGTGTTTTTTCCTTTAATTCACGTCTGAAACCTAGATATGTAAAAATAAAAAAGTAAAAAAATTATTCTGTCAATCATAACAAATGACGAAAGAAAAAATGCGAGAGTCTAATAAAAACGTATAAAAATTAATTGAGTATTGACTAAATGCAAGCAATTTTGTGTCCTTGGTATTTATTCTTTTTTTCGATCAGTAGATGTGTGACAAAATATACCTTATTTTATCATTTAGTATTTTATGTATCAAAAGTGAAATTTTAAGTACTTTGAATTAAAACAAAAAAAGAAATATACATATTTTATTCTTGGCTTATATTTTTTTCAGAATAAAACACATGGGTAATCGTACATCTCGTAATACTGTATCAAGAAAAAAACGGCATTCATGCGATACATCATCAATATACTCATCAAATAAAAATTCCGACCGACAAGGTTTTTATAAACACCATATGGATACACATTATAATATGATAGATAACGTTTTAAATGATCATTTCATTATTCTGCATTCAAATGCAAATATACAACAATCAGCTATGAATATTCATCAAGATTCTTTAAAAATAGCAATGAGAGATCATATACATGGTATGTCTTTAAACATCTTGAATCATCAAAGATATCAAAAGATCATATACAATTTTTAAAACAATAATCAATTACGATCTTTCTTAAAATTGTAGTTTTGCATTATATCGGTAGAAAATTTAAATATAAAGATTTGAATCAATTGGTGCTTCTTCTTCTTCGTTTGTTTGTTTTTTTATTCATTCATCTTTGTTCTTTCATGGTACAAGTATTTTATTGTTGTAAAACCTGTTGCGTTATTTTTTTCGAACTATTTTTGGCTAATATTAAATTTATGTCTTTACTTATCAAAAATATTCAGTTCCAATTTTGCTATTTGAGTTGTGTTATACATGACCAGATATTCAAGACATATGCCACACAATTTCGTTCAACATAATATATGAAACAGTCGACGCTGGCAAATGCATAATGGAAATTTTTTTTTTGAGAAGCTCAAAACTGGAAAGTTTTCCAAGCTGATCGAAAAAATTCATTGATTTTCTTCATTCATTTCAGCTATATTCTTCAACCAATAAAAACCAATTATTTATGTAGAACTCAATCATTGAAGCTCTTGAAATTTTGAAATACCGAACGAATAAAACTAATGACTATCCAAACGATTAATGTGAACTATAAAGAAAACTTCAGAATTCCACTCTCATTTTATATAAACAACTATCATATATATTGTCAGTACGCATTCCATACAGACAATGTCCTAATATTTCAATAAATCCAGAAACCAAACGATTTTAGTTCGATTGCAGAATAATATAATGCACAATATTTCATATATTATACTTTGAAAATTACTAATTATAAATTCTATTTTATTTGAACTAAAAATCATACAAAATTTTCTTTTCTTGATTTTTACCAACACTTTTAACGAATATTGAAAAGATCTATCGAACTATTGTTACTTAATAATAAAATAATCAGAGATGTTTCTGTTTTCCATCAAACACATATGACAAGTAGAAAGGAAACAGAACGTTTGTTCTTTAATCTCTATTAATTAAAAACACTTCAAAGGACAAACAGTTAATTGGAATGATCGATACAGTCTTATTAATCAGAATAGGTAAACGAAAAGAAAGTGATAGAAAATTTTCAGTTAGATATTAAAACGCAGGTTTACATCATTCACAACACATATCTAATTCTTTCATCATGAATTCATATTCACCATCGTATAATTTCTATGCTTCATCACCATCATTATCATGTATTTACTCCAATTTCAATACACCTTCATCATCATATTGTACTTGTTGTTGTTCATCAGCTTCATATTATCCTCAACAAGTATCATCAACATTCGTATTTTCCCCACCGACTTCTCCTTTCATTCCTCAACATACTCAGGTAAGAATAATTTCTTTAAGAGATATATTCATCATGCAATGGAGTAAGTCATTCAGAATTTTTATTTTTCACTTTTTTCTTGAAACTCGAGACTTATATTCAATCCTTTTAGATTTCTACACCATCTATCACAACTCAATCTGTAAGTTTTATTCAATGGTTTTTGTTTTTGTTTCTATCTTCTCATAATATTCCATTTAATATTTAGATTCAAACTCAACAATCATCTTCAAAAATTACACGATTACAATATACAAATAAAGATCGTTATATACTCAATGAATTGTTCAAACGAACACCTTATCCAAATGGTAAGTGGAATTTAATGTAAATATGAATTCATATTATTATTTTATAGCTATACAACGTGATTTAATTGCTCAAAAACTTAGTATTACACAAGAACAGATACGTATATGGTTTCAAAATCGTCGTCGTTTACAAACACAACGTGATACTGGTGAACGATTCGCAACAGCTAATGAAATTTCAGCTCTACAACAAGGAAAAACATGTGTGAATTTGAATGAATTAACGAAATTACTTAATGAAATAGCTCAATATAAAGATGCACCACCACGACTTCGACTTAATGAATCGTCCTAATTATTTTATATATTTCATTTTTTTTTTCTCACACTTGTATTTGTTTCAGTAAATAATATATTCAAAATAAATAGATTTGATTGACATCGAAGTTTTGCTTTTTTTTTTTTTTGTTCAATTAATATTAACTATGATTCATGGATAAGAATAACTAATGTAAAATTTTTGATAAGGAAGACATTTCGTATTGATACAAGCTTAGTTCATAGTTATTTAGGAAATGAAATCTTTACATAAACAACCTCAGGGATTTTTCAAAATGCTTCATATTGAGTAGTGAGATGAGATACATTTAGGTGGAAGATTATAAAAATTTTGCCTAGTATGACCTTCCATTTAAGCTCTCAAGTAATTAGAGTACATTCAGTCTATTGTTCATCTTTTTTGAGATGAAACATATTCAAATGGAATGATTTTCTAAAATGAAATAAAGAATTTAATTTTATTGGACACAATCTCTCAATGTTGTTCTTTTTATTTTTATTTTCAATCAATCAAGTTCGAAATTATTACAATACGCAATTTATATAAGTATCGTTGATATATTCTGACTAATCAATGAAAATTTCCATAATCTTCAAGAGGCTTTGTTCTATTGTTGATATGTTCATGAATATTGGATAGAAAACATTAATCTATATTAGTTTGAATGGTGGGAGAGAGCGGTGTCTTTTCAAAGAGCAAGTAGGGCATCGCAGAATTTTCGATTATTGTACCAGCCACTATGTATCTGTGTTCTGAAAAATAGATGTTCATCCTTCTGGAAGAGAAAATGTTTGATAAAACATTGTTTGAATGTGTGTGTTAGAAGGTATCAAATTTCGATTGATACGGAATCATTGATCAACACGTTCATCAAGTTCCAATGCTTCAAAAATTTTGAAACCTTGATTGGAAGGAACTATCTTGATGATCTTTTTGCTTTTTTGAAGTGTTGAATATAGGGATGTAGCGAAGAGAAACAAGTGACAGAGAAATGTAAGGAAATTTTTTG